GACGAATCATGACTGAAGAACAAGACCTCATCGACCGATCACCACCGCCTACAGGACCCGACCCTGAACCAAACCCGAATCCGAATTCAGTAATCCATCCGAGGCGTGCGTCTTTCGAGCACGGACTCCTTCCGATCCAGAAACTTGTTTTCACCGACCCGAGCCAAACCCTAGCTCCTGTCAAGCAGAAGCTAGCGGATGCCGCCACGAATAACCGCGTTGGATCGGCTGCAGTCGCCGATGTCCTCCAGATCTCCGGTGACCATGCGCGTCTCGTTCTCGAAACTCTCGGCTCTGTGCTCCATTCCGAGTCTGACCCTTTGGTTCGAGCGAAACCAGAGGAAGTTGATTCGGTAGGAGCTGATTTGCGGGATCTAATTTTGTTTCTGTACATTCAATCGTATAAGAAATTGCTGCCTCGAACGCACAAGGACTCCGCTGCAGTGGCCGATGTTTGGCCATCGACTTCTGCATTTGATGGGTACTTGTCGGCGTTATCGCCAATTCAGGCAAGTTTCTTACTTTTCGTTGCCCTCTAATTATAATGTGCCTTAATATTCAATGATCCCAGAGCGTACGATCTATTTGGTCTGGAAATGGAATTGTTGTAGCTGGAAAATGGAAACGGAACGTGATAGCTCTATTAACTGGGTTAGAGAATCATTTTTCTCCGTTTTGCATTGAATACAACTAAATTTTTGCAATGCAAGTCATAGTTTTTTTGTTTGATACACCTGGAACTTAGAGTCAAGCAAAGTTGGAAGTTTTGTTGGGTTCTTTGAATTGATGGTGGATGTAGTGTTTAGATATATGATCGTAATAATTCTCTATGGAATAGATGCTCGTATTCTTAATGCATATTGGTTTATTGTCTCAAAAACGATGAAACTGTTAGTCATCTTTTGGTGGAGGTATTGTTGTAAACATTATTGCATTGGATGCTACATCAAGTAAGCTTGCTAACGTTAATGTTACTGAAGTGAGATACTTCTATCCAGCTCTTAATTGCTTTAAGTAATATTCACTTATACATTTGAGTAACCTGTCCATTTTTATTATCTCTTAATTGCCAGTCCCCTTTCTTCGATGACTCTGGGGGCAATGGTAATTCAACAGGCTGAAGTCAAACATTCAGCTTGCTGTCTTATGTGGTGTTGATTTTGTTTCTTCTTCGTAGTACCTTATTTTGGTCGGTCCTTCCACGTGGTTTATTTAGTGATAATGCAAGATGTGTTCTTTCATTCTCCACTCCGTTGACATTTTCACTCATGTTTGTGGTAGGGATGGTCTGTTGTGTCTTTTAGAAAATAGTCATCTAATTTTAAGCTTGTCAGTGGTTATACAGTCATTGTTCTTCTATGTGCTATTCTTTTTCATCACAAGGGTCTAAAGTGTACTCATACTTCCTTTTCACCATTTCACAGCTTGTTCGCAGCAACAGCCGTCGATTTATGCCATCACAAGCAGATGATGAAGCTCATCAATTGTCATATCTGCAAAAACATTTAGCAAACATCATTTCTCTCCTCGCAGAGCCTGTGGAGGGAGAAGAAGAAGAATCATTGGTATGTGCTATAATCTTCCTTTATTTACTCGAGAATAGTCACTGTTTCTGCAGAACATGAATATAAAAACTGATGTTGGGATAAGAATTTTTCAGGAAATGAAAGAGAATACAAGTCTCAAGCTAGATATGTATCTCATGATGGTTCAAACTACTGAATTATTTTGCTTGCTCTATATCCTTCAGGTTCTCTCTATGGAGGCTTTTGAGCACCTGGGTTTTCTTGTTCAGTTCGGTGATAAGGGATCTGATGTATCTCCATTGAGCCAAGCTACTCCTTTTTTTGCAAATTCTGATCCGGATATGCCCGCTGTTCCAGTCCCCGTTTCCCAAGTGCATGACTGGCTTCTGCAAAATATAGCTTCCGCTTTAGAAAGCATTACTGAGAGAATTTCTGGGAAAGAAAACGGGACTTCAAATGCCTCTGATCAAGATGATGCGATGTCAGATGCTTGTGCTGCTCCGAACAAGGTTGCACCTAGTGCTAGAGGCCCGTGTTTAATCGAGGGAGTATCAAAGACTTCACTTGTTAAGCAGGCCTCCGATCTAAGGGGTAGATCTGTGAAGGTTCGTTGTGAACAATTAAATATTATAGTTGGAGTTTCCCTTGCTCCACTTTTTCTACCATTTATGTAGTCTCTCTGTGCAAGCATGTCAACTACATGTTCTGTGTATTATGCAGGTTGTCAATTGCCATGATTCTGTAATTTATCTCTTAGCACCACTGAGATATGCAACTGTGCATGGATGTTCTGATACTACTATAGTTCTGGGAGCTGTTGGCAAGGTACGGAAACGACACTGCTTCCATATTTCTGTTATAATATCTTCCAAGGCAACATTTCACAAGTTATAATATCTTCCAACTTTTACTAGAAGATGCAGCTCATCTATTTTCTGATTCATTCCTGCAGGCATTAAGAGTTGAGCACTGTGAGAGAGTTCATGTAATTGCAGCTGCCAAACGAGTATGCATCGCCAATTGCCGTGAATGTGTTTTCTTCTTGGGAGTCAATCAACGACCTCTTATTGTTGGTGATAACCACAAACTACAGGTAAAGCGTCTCTCAAAGATTTAGGGTTGATTGACAAGTTTTACACACGGCTGCATAAACAAGCTCTTCTTTACCCTTCTGATAGTAATCTAGAATTAGTGAAGAGGCTAGACTATTTAGTAGCTTTATTTTGGTTAATATGCTCTTCAAGGTGTTATCCATCCATTACTTTATGGTGTTGATGAGGATATTGGTTAAGAAATACCTCTAGTCTGATGTCTTACTTCGAGAGGGTATCACAGTTTCCCATTTACTACTTGAGAATAGAATCATTTTCAGATAGTGGTTCTTGTAATTACAGGCTTCTAAATCAGTTTGATTTTGTTACAGGTCGCTCCATATAATACATATTACTCTCATTTAGAGGAGCACATGAGTGAGGTGGGGCTTGAGCCAACTATCAACAAATGGGACCAACCATTGGCACTGGGAGCAGTGGATCCACATGACTCGCTCTCACATCCTGCCGGTGTCGCTGATGCACAGGCTGAATCAGCTGCTTGCGTAGACCCTGACCAGTTCATTAACTTTTTGGTACACTCTCTTTTTGTTGGTCTAATTTTACTCTGATGACTGATGAATGCTATTGATACACTTTATTCGCTATTCACAAAGCATCCGTCACATGTTTATCTGTGGTATCAATATGTGTGGTGCAGATCCCAAACTGGTTTAGCGGTGAGGAGATTGGTTCCACGAAAGACAATCCATTTCCGCTGCCAGATCCTTATATGGCGGCTCAGCAGAGAAATGTATGTTTTGCTGGTTTTCTTTAGTAAGAAATGGCTGTCCTCATTTTCTTAACTCCATTTTTGGTTTTCATCAGCTTAAGAACTTTGAAGAAACAAGACGATCGTTAAAAGAAACGCCTCTGGAAGAAAACCGGAAAAAGGAGCTATCAAGCGCACTTCATGTGTATTTCAAAGACTGGCTTTATGGTAAGAACTTTTGAGATCGATCCCCACTCTAGTTTATATGCATCTTTTATCGGGTTCTGATCGTCATTGTGTTTCTGCTGTGAATCTGACAGCAAGTGGAAATATAAGGCAACTCTACTGCCTACAAGGTGACTAATAAAGAAAAACAAACCAAGTGAAAGATGTCTCGTTCCTGTAGAGCTCTCTCGATCATATTGGCATATTGCT